ATTTTGTTTATATATAAAAAAAATTATATTAAAGAGAATTTTTTTATTTTTCGCAGAGTCTTCAAAATCAAGAGAACACTCTGTGATTAGGGTTTGGTATAAAACTAAGAAACCCGAGATTTGACAATGACGGTGTCATGGTTTTTTGTTCCAATGTAATTCCTTGATAACTATTAAGTTTGAAATTGTGACAAATATTAAATATCTAAAAACCTTATAAAACTTCAAAATTTTGTCAATCATAATTATTATTATCTATATGTAATGATTGTTAATGGATAGTATAATTTTAAATACAACTGCAAATAGAATGTAGAATATGCTGTTTTTTAAACAATAGAATATATTTCAATTTACGAACGTAACAATGAATGGTTCAATACCTAACAAAAAAACAAAAAATACTTTTTATAATAAGGTCAAAATTCATTGGAAGCTTCGAACCAAACTTTGACAGCCATAACTCCCAAATACCCAACTGTCCTCTTTAAATTAAATTAAATAATAATAATATAATAATGATAATAAACCACAATACCTCATCCACAAGACAATTTATTTTTGTCCCTTTTCTTTATTATAAATTATTATGAAATGTCTTCTCACGTTTTGTTTCGGATGTCGATGCTTTCAAGCTATATATACACTTACGTGTTGGTTTTTGTTTCATTTAATAATTTAATGGATATATAATTTAGTTTCATAAGTTATATATCAATGTAATTTTATGATTTTGTGCAAAAATAACAACCTTAATAAATACATAAATAAAAAAGATTTATTTATTAAATTTACCTTTTTTTCTAAACTAAACTTTATTTATCCTCCTCTTCCATTTTTCAAGTTCATTCATCGAAAGCCAAATTGCATACTATTATAATTATAATATTATTATTTTTTAATCTTGTAAAAAATCATTATAGTTTAGAATTTGTTTGGTCTAACCTCAAGATTTCTTATTTTATGATTTGACCATTATAATTTAAAAGTTTACAAAAAGCAACTCTAATTAAACAAAATATTCCTCTGGTATAGAAAAAAACTATTAATGGTTAAATAAATAAATAAAACTAACAAGAGTTATTACAAAAACAAACTTTTATGGAATGTGACATTGCTCAACTATTGTTGACTTAATTAATTTGTTAGTTATAATTTATGAATAGTCACGTGTATTACCATATACATATTATATATTATTAATTAATTATTTATAGAAAACTTTATATCTAATAGAAAAACTAATTGTTTGAAAAAGTAGTTGTTAGTTGATAAAAAATGACATTTGATAAAACTAGCTAATAAGTTATTAAAAAATATGTGAAACGACTTAAAAGGCATGTTTAAGGTTAAGTTTTTTTTAAATTATAAAATTTTTCTTTTAAAATTCACTTAAATCATTAAATTGCTAGTCGGAATAACTTTTTAAAAACTAGCTTATAGAATATTTTTTTATTTGACAAACACGAAAACTTAAAAAAACTTGAAAAACTTATAAATAATGAACCATTTTTAACACTAACTTGACTTGATATATTAATAATATAATCATAATAGTTTCGAAAAACTTACAATTTTTTAAGTTCGTATTTGTTAGTTATGTTTAATATTTCAGAAACTTAAAATATCAATATTTAAAGTATATAACAATATATGAATCTAGTTTACTTTATTTTATTATTTCAAATTTTTAAATTTCTTCTCATCTATAATCTATAATTAGAGCAGTTATAAAACAAAAAAACATTTTATTTGCACTTTCATATACAATGATAAAATAGTAATAGTCCGACGTTTAGAAGAAATAGATTATATTGTTCATATATTTATATCACCACTATCTATTTCACAACACTTTATAATATATGAAAGAAATAAATGAACAGACTCTTATTCATCTAAAAAATAATAAATCATATTCAATAAACCACTTGTATTTATGTATTTTATACGTTGTGTTTCCAAATAAACAATGTATTTTCTTTTAGTTGTTTTAAAATGAATTACATGATTTTGTTTTAAACTGATTATATCAATCACATTATTTTGTTCTAATTTAAACAAAATGAATAACATGAATGATACATCTTGAAGTAAATATCGATAATCTATATTAACAAATTTGAAAAGGAAAACTATATGAATATAATTACTAATATTATGAATATATAAAAAAGTCAATGTATAAATTAGTCAAAGTCAAACGCCGTTTCTTTCTAATAACAGAGGATATCAATGCTATCAATTTTTATGAAAAAGATAAAGTTGATGAAATGAGATTAATCAAGCAAACCTGATCACCGAAGAAATTAATCAGCGCCAAATTCCGGCCGGAAATTATCTGTTTTCCGTTCGACATCTCGTAAATCTGCCTCCACGATTGCAATCCTGTGTATAACGTTGACAAAATCGCAATCGCCAATGCATACCTGTTCATACAATTCATCATCAAATTCATCTGAAATCCCAAATCAAACAGTGGATACAACTACTCCGATTGCAAATCGAACCTGTATTCTTCGTATTCATCGAAATTCCTCCCCCGACCATGCTTGTTACTAGCCATGATTATGAACGCAAGCACCGAGAAAACAAAACCTAAAACTCTCAATCCTAGAGATACTCTTTTAAGCGTGTCTTCATGCCTCCATCGTCTTAAAATTCCGGTGACGCCGTATCCCGGTGGAGGAGGTAGAGGCGTTTGCGTCGGATCAGTGTTCTCGTTCTCCACATCTGGTGGCGCTGTAGGTGTTGGACTCTTCGCCGGCGGTGGTGACGATGAGAATGATGTCATCTCAGCAGTTCAAATTCGATACTGATGGGCGATTTTTGCGATTGGTGTTTGAATGGAGAGAATTTGGAAGATATGAAGGTTGTGGAATATACTTCCAAGTTCCAAACGGCATGACAGCAAAGCAAGCAAGATTGTTCTTTCTGACAACTCATCATTCACCAATAGAAGTTTATGGACGACAATCTAAAAATTAAAAAGCATTAAATTTAGTACCTTTTTCCAGCTTAAAAAAAAAATCAGAACTTGTATTTTGATAGATATAGTCCAAAAGAATGAAATCTTGCAAAGATGATCCCTATTTCAAACTAAATTAGCATTGTTCATCCCTTCATCTAACCATGTTGGCATGTTTACATTCTCCCATTAACATCCCATGATGTGCAAGTTGCATGAAGGCATTTATGTTATTAACCCTAATTTGCCATCTGCTTATTTAAGAAGAACGAAAATGGGTTTCAATTACATTCTTCAACCTTCATCTAATGTAAACCCCCTTATTTGAAAATGTTTTTTTGTGCATGTGGACATCCAACAATCCTCGAAGAAAATTATGTTCGTGTTCTGAGGTGGTAATGGTTAAGGTTTGTTAGTTTTATTAACTATCTTTTTAACGATTGAATTTTTATAAGCTACCTAGAAGATAGAAAAACGACATAATTACAGCAGGGTGTCAATAAAAGTTTTGTAACCAAGAAACTCAATTGACTTTAAGTTAAATGGAGAAAAATAGATGAAAAGTTGCCACTCTTTTGGTAGAGCTTCTATTTTAATCTACGGGTCTTCAACTAAAGAGTTTGAGATTAGGAGAGGGTTGAGGCAACGAGATCTTCTTTCTCCTTTTCTCTTTGTCCTTGCAATGGAAGGTCTTAGTATTTCCTTGAAAGAAGCGTGTGATCGTCATCTTTTTCAAGGTATCGCTTTTCCTAATAATGGTCATTTGTTATCTCATCTTTTGTATGTGGATGATGATATTTTTATTGGGGAATGGTCGAGGTAAAATTTATAAATCTAAATAGAATTCTTATATGCTTATATCTCGCTTCCAGTTTGAAGTCAATCTTTCTAAAAGCAAAGTTTATGGAATTGGAGTTGAAAATGGTGATGTAGCCCGTCTTGCAAGTATCTTGAAGTGTGAACTCACAAAGTTTCCTCATACGTATATTGGTCTTGCTATCGAAGTTAACATGAAACTTGCAAAAAATTAGAGTCCAAAAGTAGAAAATTTTAAAGCTAAATTGTCTAAATGGATGGTTGAGAATCTTTCTTTTGGTGGGAGGCTCACCCTTGTCAACTCCGTTTTAGGAAGTCTTCCTCTTTTTTGTATTGCTCTTTTTAAAGCTCCCATGAAAGTGATTGAGCTTTTGGAGAGCATTAGAAGAAGGTTTCTTTGGGGTGATATTGAAAATAAGAGAAAAAATCATTGGGTAAATATTGTGACGTTAATTGCATTGTGCTCATCAACATGTAAGTTGCACAATATTGAATGAGAGAATGATAATCCCTTTCAAATGAGATACTGTGTATGATAAGACAGATGAAGGTTCTTATTATGTTGACAAAAAATTTTAAATTTAAAGAACTACTTATTGTTATGTTAACTATATGAAAGTCATTGAGTTAATTAGCCAGTAGTGTACCAAACATGTTTTTTTTTTCTTCCAAAAACAGTACTAACAATTGTTCCAATATTTCAAACACTTAAAAAAAAAACACGATTAACTCCTCAAAGCTTTCCAATATAGTAAACATAAACCACAAAACCAAATTTTAAATTTTGTTAATAGCTTCGGCCCCAATATGTCCATTTCTTGGCAGGTTTCCCAGATGCAAAGCACAAGGTACCTGTCACAAATATTAAGTTACAGAAATGCCCTTATTGTCCATGTAAAAGACGTAAATACCCTTATTGGATGGTAGAAAATATAGCAATTTAAAAATTATAAAAATTATACCTTCGGGCAGTTCAGGCTGTTCAAATGGAGAGCAAAGTGTCTTAGCCGCTCCTGTCTCTCCTTTTGTCTTTGTTTTCACATCCTTCTCCACTTCCTGAAATATATTATTAAATTTAAAACTTATATAACATAATAAATTAATAATAAATGGATAATCCTTTTTTGTTATATTTTGCCTTTTACTACACATCACAACTATTGTCTCAAATTTTGTAATACCATGAGTTGCCAAGGAACAACAATAACTATTTCAATAGTAAATTACATTTTTGATCCCTATTTATAGCTTCTTTTGCAAATCTAGTCCCAAAAAGCTTTCTCTTGCAACTTTGGTCCTTATTTGAGCTTCTTGTAATGTTTTTGGTCCTTGTTCTAAATTAAATGACTACTTTTGGGCTCTGAGTTTAGTTGACTTTTGCAATTTTGGTCCTTATTTAAGCTTCTTGTAATGTTTTTGGTCCTTGTTCCAAATTAAATGAGTACTTTTGGTCCCTGAGTTTAGTTGACTTTTGCAATTTTGATCCCATAAATAGTCATTTTACTTCCCAAAAAGATACAAAAACCTCAAATAAGGACCAAAACTGCAAGGGCCAAAACTGAAAATATTAGTTATCCTCAAGGACTAAAAATGTAATTTACTCGTACTTTAATCTACCTTCTGAAAATTTTGCATCTATAAAAATTTAGTATACACATTGCATTTTTTGTAAGTTGAACATGAAGCATCTCTTTTGTAAATTTATAAAGAAAAAGATAAACAACTTTTTGTAATTAATTATGTTAATAAAAACAAAGGTATTACCTCTTCATCACACCATGGAGCCAAAATCAATTTCTTTTGACCTAAAGCTTTAATAAACTCATCCCATGTTTTTGTCACTTCAACACACGCATCACGTTTTTGTTTAGCAACATTAAACATACTTTGTTGAACATCATCCAACAACTCCTTCACTTTCACCAAATCCGCCATTGGAATATCAATTTTCTCTCCATTGTCACGCCTAACAACACGCACCTGAAAAACAAACAGCTTATTTTTTTATAATTCCAACGGAATCACCAATTCCACGGAATCACCAATTCCACGGAATCACTAATTCCACAGAATCATCGATTCCATGGAATCACCGATTCCATTCCGATCCTATCCCAATTCCAATTCCATTACCTGTTTATTGGTGACATCTCTAGGTCCAATTTCAATCCTTAAAGGAACACCTTTCATTTCCCAATGAGAATACTTCCAACCAGGGGAATAGTTTTCTCTCAAATCAGCTTCAGAACGAATACCTAAATCACTTAGGGTTTTCACAGTGTCCAAACATGCATCTTTTATTTTTTCAGTGTCTGCATCTTTGTAAGGCACATTGACTACAATAACTTGAACAGCTGCAACTTTAGGAGGCAACACCAGGCCTTTATCATCACCATGAACCATCACCATCACCCCTATCTGTAAACAATAACAATCTACTTTCAAAAATGAAAAATACAATTTTATAATTGGATAGATTTTTTAAAAAGTTAATGAGAAATTAGTCTGATTAATAAATACCGTGCGTGTACTGTAAGCCCATGAGTTTTGCCACACCATAGCTTTTTCACCCTTTTCATCCTCAAAGTTAATCTCAAACATTTTTGCAAAATTTTGTCCTAAACAGTGGGAAGTTGCACCTTGTACACCACGACCTGTGTTTGGAATGAATGCCTACAAAATAGTTTATGAAGGGCAAAAATGTCATTTAACATTTATTGGTTTATACTTTATATACTATCTTATATAAGTTATAAGTACCTCAACACTTGTGGTGTAAAGTCCACCAGCAAACTTCTCCATTTCACTTTTCTTCCCTTTCACAACAGGGACAGCTAAATACTCCTCATATAGACGTCTGTATAGTTCAAGAATCTCAAGAACCTAAAATACATTATTGTTCAATCAAATTGAGCATCTTATATACAAAAAGGGTATTTGTTTTATAAAAAAAAGATACCATTTTTTCATGTTTCTTTTAATCTTTAAGTTTATTATTTTATACCTCAGTGTCTGCTTCTTCCTTTGTTGCAAAAGCAGTGTGTCCTTCTTGCCAAAGAAACTCACGACTCCTAAAAAGATTTAAGTTTAAGACAAAATTAAAAAGGTGATCATCATGAAGGATTGAATTGAGTAATACGAAGATGATGTGATGAATAAGCACCTGATAAAAGGAGTTGGATTACTAAACTCCCAACGAACTACATTACACCATTGATTAAGTTTCAGAGGTAAATCACGGTGTCCTCTTATCCATTTAGAAAAGTAGGGATACATCACAGTTTCACTAGTAGGGCGAATTGCAATTGGAACTTCTAATTCAGAGTCCCCAGATCTTGTCACCCATGCAACCTAAAAGATTAAAAGAAAAAGAAAGAATTAAAAAGTAGAATACATTCACAAAAGCAATATAGGCATTCATGTTTGTTAATCTACAAAGCACAAGTTAGATGAAAGCAAGAATGTTATGTTTGTTAATATACCTCAGGAGCAAACCCCTCTATGTGATCCTTCTCCTTTTGTAGAACGGTATTAGATACAAAAAGTGGAAAGTAGCAAGTTTTAATCTTCATCTTTTTAATTTCTGCATCAAAGTATGTCTGCATAAAGATGTTAAAAAAACGGTTTATTTAGGGCTTAATTGCATCAGAACAAAAACTGGATTGAGCTTAATGGTTTCTTGCTTACTTGCATTATCTCCCAAATGGACATTGTCCATGGGCGGAGGATGTAACAGCCAGAGATTTCATAGTATTCTATCATTTCACCATTTGTAACAACCTATAGGAGCAGAAAAGAACCAAGTTAAAGCATAATAAATACAGAGAAAGCTGGAAAACAATGGATATGTCATATGTTATATACCTCAGAATACCATTCCCCAAAGTTGCCATCTTTAGTATTGGTAAGACCTAGACCAGTTTCCTTCTTCCTTCCCTCTGCAATTACAAGTTTTATGACAATATAAGATAGGGAATATAGATGGTTAGATACATGCATCTGCTTTTATATATAACTTTCATAAAATCTGTGTGTTTGTGTGTAGAACAGAAGAAGCTGACCAAAAACTGGCATTTGATATCAAGCATACTTATGGAATTTGTAATCTAAACAAAAGATCTGAACCATATTTCTAATCTAAACAAAAATTCAGCTGCTTATG